TATCATCAACCGTAGGTCACTCGCGGGTTTCTGGTTTAGGGATGCTTGGCCAGGGCCATGAGTCTTTAGGAAAAAGCTCGCCGAACCATGAATTAAGGGGTATTGGCACGGTATTGGAGGTTCTCTATGCTCCTGCGCCCGAACACCCTCCACCCTGAGCCCCAACTCTGACATACTTACAACTTACAACCTAAGGTTTACAACCTGCACCCTAGGACCCAAAAGCCGTGAGTCTTGAGCCCTAAATCCCGTCTAAAGCCTTGAAACATATGAAATCAGACACCAAAAACCGTTGTCAGCGAGGCGACACTCAATCTGGTGAATGAGCCCCAGCATACCCTATATGAGTCCTTAGATCCCTAGGGATAAGGGCCGAACTCAATGGAATGGTGCTGCTGTGTTTGTTGGACTGATCTGAATTGGACCTGTGGCAAGCTGGGCCCCACTACCGCTAAGCAAGCTGTCCATACAGCCTTGCGAACCTCCAGACTCCTTCGATAGCCACATAAACACCCTATAAACCCATACACACCTCGATGAACAGAAAATAGAAAAAGAAACCCTAAACCTTAAACAGCCTTGAACCCTCCTTAAACTTTAAACCTTACACACCCTCAACTGAAAGTCCAAATGCTGGCTGCAGTTCGCTGGGCCCGGCGCTCGCGCATTACCAGCCCATGGGCCTCGCCACCTCTTCAGGGCTTTCGGGGCATCAGAGGATTTTGAGTTTATTTAGCATTTACGCAAGATTTAGGGTGCAGTGGGCTTTACAGCTTCGGGTTTTATCGGGGTTAGAGTCTTTTGGGCTTTGGTTTTGGGCTTAGGGTTTACGCGCAATGTGTAGGATTTAGGGCTTTGGTGTTTAGGGTGTCTGGGTTCTCCACTACCAAAGCGTACACTTTTTATCCCTGCCATTTGGCTTTAAAGCGGAAAAGGGCAAAAGGGTACTACCGGGCAACCCAGTTTACAGGTTTCTAGTACGGAAACCCTAAGGGTCCATGTACCTATTGTAGTATATACATGGGCCTGAAAGTAGTCCCCATATAGGTACTTTAGGCCCAAAGTATCTAGTATATGGGTACATGGACCCATTGTACCCTAAACCATATAAGAGCCCTTAAACGGAACCCCGAAAAGGGAATCCGACAAAGGAACCCAGTATCTACTATCTGGGTACATGGACCCTTTGGGGAAAGTATATTTCCTGGCAGCGGGAGCCTCGGGTGTGTTCCCAGGGACTCCAACACCCGAGGGATATGCCTGAAATTATATTCGGGAGGGATCCTACCGTATCTTAAGGTATATTCCGTGATTTCGGGATGTTGGAGTCTCTAGGTTCCAGGTTTGAAGATTTCCGGTTCTTTTCAGGGCTCGTCGCATGGCTTCTAGAAGGGTTCTTTTCAAGGATTCCTTGAAAGAGGGGAACCCTGTTGTAGAACCGTGTACTTAGTAGCCTTTAAACGAAGAACCTTAACAGCCCTAAAAGGCACCTAAACCCTACACCCTTAACTAAAGGAAAAGCCTTCTATCCGCCTGGGCTTAGGTAATGAGACCTCGAAGCTTTGGCGGCATCTAGTTTAGGGTTTGGGGTTCAGGGTTTGCGGTTTGGGGTCTAGGGAACTACGAGTATAAGGGGCTCCATATGGCTTTGGGTTTACGATCACTGCAGGGGTTTTTCAGTTTTCTATTGGGGCTTCAAGGCCTGAACGTGTGTGTGTGTGTGTGAATCGACAATTTTGGGGGGTTAGGTTCAAGCTTTCGAACTTAGAGTCTTGTAGAGGTTCAGCTTTGTCAAGCTCTATAGAGATTTTGCAAGAGCTTATGGAACTTGTGTACCAAAGGGGTCATGTACGCCCATAGACTGTTTAGCGAACATACGTTTGTTTATAGGCCGGTGTAGACTTGTTACCCATGTCATACAACGTTCTACATGGCTCCCTAAACTTTAATCGACTTCCCCAAACCCCCTACTACTAAGCCAGCGGCCCAGAGAGCCCACGAAGCGCAGGAGATGTCGCACGAGCGACCGACCTGAACGGCTTCGAAGGACTCACCGAGAAGGTCTAAAGATACTGACAGTCGGGGTTTAGGGTTTACGGGTTGAGGCGTTTCGGGGTTTAGGGTTTAGGAATTAGGCCCCGCAGTGGCATTCCAGTCAGGGTTGCGTATACGGACTCTCTTGGTAAGTAAACCTCAAAGCCCTGAGCCCACGGGTTCCTTAAAATTAAAAGGGTTCAGGACAGGTCATGCTCCGGTTCACGGACTGCCGTCCCACCATATCACCATTTACCCTGTAACCATCATAACCATATATACCCAAGCCATCTTACCAAATATCCTATACTCCCACAGCCCGAAAGACCTTAACAGTCATCCCACCAAAAGACCTTACCAACCATCCTAGCAGTTCTCTCAAACTCAAGCACCCCAAATACCAAACCACCTTGACCATTTCTCCCACCAAAGCACCTATCCAAGCGAACCGGGGCATGAACCTGATTTAATTTTCATTGTACAATCATACACAGAACTTTCAATTATCATTTCACATATAGGCCTTGTTTTTCCCTTCAATTCGTGTAATCTAACTTGTCATCTTTACAAACAGTATAAGTCCATATATATATATATATATATATATGTAGTCGCTAGAAAGAACTTACACGCTCATAGAACATCTTGAGAAGGCTCTTTCCTCTCCCTGTGCCATCTATAAACTATACGTGCCTAAATTCTCATACATTCTCCTCATCTCAATGTACTTCCAATGTGCATTCATTCTTATCAAACTCTCTCTTTAATATTTCACGAGCCTCAGAATATTCTGAATATTTGTATGTTTTAGTTTTAGTGCAATAGTTAATAATGAAATGGATGGAATTATCCAATAGACATTGAAATCTACAGCACTTAGAACCGCAATAATACTCAGCAACCAAAGGCATCACGTTTGCCTGGCTAATATATCTGCTGTTTGTTTCTAACTTCCTCACACATGTTACAACGCTTTTAAACATTCGAATTTGCGTATATCACGATAGATTACGGTTGGTTCATCTTCTCTCGTTGTCTTCAAACTTTCTACTGCTTTTTCAGCCTGGTTAATGCCTCTTGTTTCTTCTTGTTGTGCTGCTGTTGTCATATCGTTGATAAGGTTTCCGACGGTTTAGAAAATTGAATTTGGCGGTTCTCAGATTAATCAACTATTCGAATAACGTGTGTAAGAATGTTTTTATACTAAGTTTATACTAACCGTCGTCTTTTGCTGTGTAGGTGTTTGTTATTATCACGAAGGAACCTTACTAGCCATAAGATAACATATGCGTTTGTTACTTTTGCTTTAGATGGTTTCTTGTTAGTCTCTTTTCTTGGTTTTGATTTGTTGGTCCTTGTAAAATGCTTTGAAAACATAACGCCTATACATAGCCGGAGGAGGGGAGCAGTCTAAAAATCTTCATAAGCAGAAATACCGCATGGACAACATGGCTGTGATTATGGGTGATGGAAGAATAAGTTAGACAATATTTAGAATCACTTGTATACACATTATCTCGAGCACGCGGAATGTGGGAGTCGCGCTTGGCGACGCGAGGCTGCTGGCGAAGCGCTCCAAACAAGATGTGTTTGCTTGCCTTGCTTTGTCTTTTGTGCGTGTGTGTGTGTGTGTGTGTGTGTGTGTGTGGGTGCGTGCGTGCGTGTGTGTGTGTGTGTGTGTGTGTGTGTGTGTGTGTGTGTGTGTGTGTGTGTGTGTGTGTGTGTGTGTGTGTGTCTGTGTGTGTGTTTTGTTGTGCTGTTGTTTCTGTGATATTTGGTGTATGTGTTGCTGTATCGTTTATTGTGGGTTGGATTTTCGTATGTTTCGGATGAGAGGAGAGTCGGAGCTCAAAAAAGGAAGTATGAAGATTTCAGATGTTGTTGGTTGTGTTGTTGCTTTTTGTTGCTTTGGTATATGTTTTGCTATAAGTTTGAGCATGGATTGACACTGCTGTAGGTGTTTTGGATTTGGTGCTTAAACACACCGTTTCTTTCTACACCATTGGATTTGAGCCCTCCTTCGTCCGAATCACTTCTGAGAAGGTTGCTTGCATTGTGAACGCAATCCCCTAAACACCTAAACTCTGCACTGTCTACACCCCTAAAACCCAAAACGCCCAAACCCTTGAAGCCTAACCCCTAAACCTAAGCCTTAAACGGCACCAAGATCTGGAACTCGTTGAAAAGGGTGTCGTTGATGGAGTCGTTCACCTGTCATTTTAGATTTATGGCCTCTAAAGGGTTAAAGGCTACCTACTCAGTTACTAACGCAAAGTTCCAGCAGTGAAAGACTCAGGAGGCGTGGTATAAGCCTTCAGGCAAAGAATGATGCTTGGCACGCCTCTGACTCTTCAGGACGCCCAAAACAGGTGTCAGGGCGCTCCCAAAACCCTAAACCCTTGGGGCTGCAAGGGGTGGGGTGAAGGTAAACGGGGCGACAGAACCCCGGCATCATAACCCTAAGGCTCCAAGGACTCATATATTAAGGCATTTGGATTCTCGAACCCTGCGAGAGGCCACCACGAACCATAGCGGCCTTCATAATTAGAGCAAGGCTCCCTACATATAAAGGGATTCCTTAGGGTTTGGGGGCCCGTTATATTATGCTGCAATATTAATCAGGAACACCCCAAAATACTTTTGTCGTTTAAGACCCCGTATTACCCACACGAAGGGGCACGGGTTTTTACGAAGCGATGCCAAGGTTCACTAAGATTCACGCCCTCAACCCTAAACCCTCAACCCTAAATGTTCAGGAGCCCGGCTGTAACCCGCAGGAGTTGCACAAAGGGTTACTCACAGGTCTCACATCGGCACAAACCCTGACGAAAAGTGGCTTGGAGTTTAGGGCTCTTAGTGTTTAGGGTTTAGGGTTTACAACACCAAGGGGTGGCCTTTGTTGTAAGAACTCACCTTGAACTCATGCTGTCCGGAAGTTTCTGAACCACCCCCGCTTCTGAGCACGATGCACAACTGAGACAACCCTGAAGGCATGAGAGACGCGTGTCCGACTTGGGGGGGGGGGGGGGGGCAGGAGTAGGGCCCTAAAAAAGCACATAAGCAAAAATTAGGATAGGGATATCCCATATAAATCCCCTTATAATCAAGCCCAATAAGTTAGGGATATCCCCATAAAATGCTTCTGCTTATGTGCTTTTTGGGTCCCTAAAGGAAGTTCAAGGCGCCCACCCAAGCATGTTCTGCCCATGCCTCGATAATTAGAACAGGGTTTTGGGACCAAATATGCCAGGTAAGGGCCCCCAGCCAAATAGTATTGTTAATTATTTCGGCCCCTATGTTATTTTGCTGAACTTAATCCTCGACATAGGTGAAGCTCTGCAGGTGGACGGTCGCAGGTGGTATGCAGCGTACCATGGCATCTCGTGCGATAGCCGCGAATCTGCACAGTTCAACATGACAGTGGCCTTGGTCCTGCACATAGATTCCGCTGGGCTCATCTTCTTGAAAATCATCGATATAGCAGTTCACTGCATGTACCACTGCGTAGTCCGCAATCAAGACACCAGTCACACCAGAGTCATAGCCATCTCCACGGATCCAGCAGTCCCGAAGTGTGATACGAGAGTTATTGGTGGCTTCGACGCACACTTCGTACGAAGTCACGGTGCACCGCGAAATCGTAGGAGTGCCTGCCTTGCATGTCAAACGTGTTTCAAAGAAGTCGATGTCGCACAGCATGGCATCCCGGCATCCATCGGCAAATAACAGAGCAGATCGGGATGCTCCACTGCCGATTTTTATTCTGCTTGCATGCTCGCTATGCTCTCCCCGGGCCAGAGGCTGGTCAATTCCTTGGGGCACGCCACCGCCCCGGATGGTCAATGGCTTGTCGATGACGACGATGTCTTCAATCTCATGCTCGCCTGCCATGAGTGTGACGATGCCCCACTTAGGACACGATGCAATGGCAGCTGCAATCGATTCCCCGGGAAAGACCTCCAAGGGTACGCCCGCGAGGGGCGCAAAGCTGACGGCAGTCCATAGTGCGGCGTTGGGCGCCAAAGAGGCCAAAGCGTCATTCACAAACTTCGCTCGTCGGGGGCAGCAGCCGAGGAACTCAGAACAGATGAGCTCCACCAACAGTCTGTCTTGCTGCCAATGTACTGCCATGACCCGCAGAATGTGCTAAAAGATGACCCCTAAACTCAAACACTTGAGCAGCGACTGCTGTGATTTTTGACCATCAGTTCGACTTTTTGGATGTTGGCTTCGAGCCGAGCGCCCCTCAGAGCCTCAAAGGCTAGACCTTGGTGGGGCTTAGGATTTAGGGTTTATGTAAGCACTTTAAAGGTAGGTTGAAAGGGGGTCGCCTTGTCATACAGCAAACAGCTCACGTTGTCGGTGCTCAGCCACTTGCTTCAATCAGAAACTTCCAGATGCTTCCTGACATGTGTTGCTACAATAAGCGAGTCGGGCGAACCTTGATGTGCTGGTCGCCATACGCGCCAATGAAGAACATGAAGAAGGTTGACGCCCCGGTTCAGGGATAGAAGCTTGGGTAAGGAGGATTGGTTAAGTGGATTGGTTTGGGATTTTGTTGTTAGGAGAACTCTTAGGGGTTTAGGGGTGTTGGGGTATAGCATGTTGGGTAGCATGGCTGTACGCTTTTATGTAGGTAAGATGGTTGTAGGGTTATGTTGGTAAGATGCTTGAAGGTTATGTGGTTTGGTTTGGGGTTTGCGGGGTGAGAGGAGAGTTGGTAAAATGGTGGTAAGTGGTTTTTAGTGGAATGAGTGCTGAGGTCTTTTGGGCTGTGGGGGTTTAGGATATTTGGTAAGATGGTTTGGAGGGTATGGTTTTGATGCTTATAGGTTACATTGTGTTGATCTGATGGGACGGTAGTCACCGGGGCATGACCTCTCCTAGTACCTTTAAGGGTACCATGAGGGTTCAGGGTTTAGAATAGTCCCTCCCTTGGTACTTGAAGGACAAAGTATATACTGCAATATCAGGTGTCCCCTTTAGGCAAATGTAAGGAATGCACAGAGTAGGGCTGATGGCTTAAGCAGCTTTTATAAACTGCTTGTACCAGTGCTGGTCGGACTACGACTGTTTCGGTCATCTGATCAGACACAAAGCATTGTTGCTTGCGACCCCCAGAGTGCTTTTTTGACATGTATTGTTTGTTTCGCTTGGTGTTCTGCTTCTTCGATCTCCCTATCCATACTTTTGCCAGCTTTCTGACCACTCTCGTCATGAATCTCGTCATGCCCGCTTACCAAGAAAATTGCAACGAGGCTATACAATACTGAATATCATAAAGGTAAAGTTACGTGCATTGTGGGCATCAGAACCAGGGCTACAGCTCAACTTCTCATTACCCCCCACTCCATAACCATCCTTGAACTTGGACAGAACAGAAATGAACCTCAAGCCCTAAACCTAAATCCTAAGCTGTACTAAGCGCTGAAGCGCTCGAACAACTTTGCAACCTCCCAAGTGATTCACCCTACACCTGAAACACCCAAAGCGGCCTGAATGCCCCAAACATCCTTAACAAGCATCCAAAAGATCACTAAGATGGATTCCTATAAGCTGTCTGTTGATCTCAATCTCTCTGAATGAATAACAACAAACTCTCTTACATATAATATCTGGGTTCCCCCGTAGCCCCTGAATCATTTGCCACTATTTGGTTTTAATACGGGCCCCAAAAAGAAAAAAGTGCAAAACGATATAACTAGGGAACCCCGTGTGGTTGTCAAAATTAAGGTCCCTTTTGGGGTCCCTATTATAATACGGCACCTAATATTTAGGGTACCCATAAAGGGACCGTAATATTGACAACCACCCATATACTTTGCAAGCCCCCCCTGAGGTCCAAACGATCGTCAGCCTTCTGACTTGGAGCCAAAGCAGAGCTTGCCCGACCTCTGTTATTCTGGGTTTAGGGCGTACTCGGAGGATCGGGGGACTTAGTAAGCAGGTAGTAAGTAAACTTATAAGTACCCTAAAAGGGACACGAATTGGGGTTATGGTACTTATAAGTCCTTAAAATAACCAGTCACTAAGTCCCCCGACCCTCCAAGTACGGTTTAGGCTCCGCAGTCGGCTTGTGTTTCTTGTTTCAACGATGTTGCCGTCCACCTTATGAGGTGCTCAGAACTTCAAGATTAGAAACTGCCCGGTGCACCTCGCGGAGTATGGCGAATGTGCAATCCAACTAAGGGCAACACTTTTACACTTACCAGTATTCCTAGATGCACTCACCAGGGTCCCTCACACACACCCTGAACCTTCATGAACCACAAAAAAACTCCCTGACACAAGCGCAGCAACCCTTGCATAACCGCTGCAGAAACCTTCATGGAATCCTTATAGAACCCTTTCTGAAGACTCACAAAAAACAGGGAACCCTTGTAGAACCTATTCACCCTTTCTGAACCCTCTAACAGAACCCCAAATGGAACCTTTATAGAACCCTTGTAGAACCCTTCTAGAACCCTAGACTCTAAACCGTAAACCCTAAACCCAGAAACCTTAGCCATAAACCGAGAACCCTAAACCCTGAACCTTGAACCCAAAACCTTAAACCAAAAGCCCTCAACCATAACTTAGAACCCTAAACCCTAACCATAAGCCCTAAACCATGAACCTAGAACCCTAAGCCATAAACCCTAAACCTAGAAGCCGAAACCTTAAACCCGAAGCCCTACAGACTCTTCTGGCGGCGGGCGCTCGGCTGCCGTCGACTTCTTCACCGGCATGGAGGAGGTGGGAGCCTTAGGGCAAACCAGGAGGCTTTATAGGGTCTCCCTATAGCCATGTAGTATATACTTAGGCCTTGAAGCGGTTCCTTTTTAGCTACCTTAGGGCCAAAGTATATACCTGTATGATGGGCGCTTGGAGCCTTTGGGGTTTAGCGTGTACCTAGAGGCTCATACCCTGCCCCGGTTTTTGGATACCTAGTTTTATGGCTAGGATCTGTTATACAGGCAAGTAGATACCTCAAAACAGGGCTAGCGTAGGAGCTTCAGTGCAAAAGCCTTGGAGTCAGGCACGGTTTAGGGTTTAGGGTTTAGGGTTTATGGTTTACTGTAGGGTTTAGGGTTTAGGGTTTAGGTTCATGGCACTTAGGACATAAGATTGCGAGTGGCCGTTGTGAGTACCCCAAACTGAGCTATAAGAAAGTGTGAATACAATTACCTTCTCGACAGCCTTAGTTGTCAGGTCCCATGATCCTCCAAGTAGACCCTAAACCCCAAACTCCTATAGATCCCTTGTAGAACCCGCTTTAAGGAACCCTTGATGAGCCCCTTGATGTAACTGCCTTCTTGGGCGAAACCCTCAACCCTCCGAATCAGTTCTTATTAGGTGTTTTGGACCCTGAGGGCTAAGCCCTGAACCCTGAAACTCTAAATCCTAAACCCCTAAACCCTAAACCCCTAAACCCTAAACCCCTAACTCTGAGGCCAGTGCAAGGTAGCTCGCCAAATGCGGAAGGAGCTCCGGCCAGTCCAGCGCGACCCCGGCCTTAGTACGATTGGCTTGGGTTTAGGGTTTAGGGTTCTACTTGGAGGATCATGGGACTTAGAAACTAGGGTTTTAAGTAAGGGAACTAAACTTGAAACTAACTATAACTCCAGTAGGGCTTCCAATACGGTAACTATACTTACAACTCCAGTTAAGGTACTTATAACTTCTAACCTTCCTTACTCAGTCACATGACCCTCCGGTTTCGGGTTTTGGGTTTAGTGTTCTGAGTTTGGCTTGGGGCCAGCCAAAGAATTTAAGGGCCGAAAATTTTGGGAAATGCTGAATAATCCTACAGCCCATGAGAACCTTTTGAATCCCAAGAACCCCGAGATCCCAGTAGGAGTACTAGGGAGAATTAGGGTTCACTAGGCTATATACCCCCTTGGACCCCCCTCCCTTAAGGATACTACAATCCCAATAATGACCCATAGCGAAGGGTTACACCTTTAACTATAAGATGTTTCAGAGAATGTTCCTCAATTGACATATTGGGCTCTGGAACCTCACCCACAACATAAAAAAAATATGACTCTAACCCCTTCGTGAACCCCCACAACCTATCTTATGAAGGACTTATATCAGGAAGCCATAATAGGGAACCCATAATAGGGAACCCTCAAAAGGAAGGTTTTATAGAGCCCAAGTAAGCCCTTAAAGCCACCAAAAATAACTAATTTTCATATACTCTCCAGAATCCTAACTCTAACCTACATAACTACTATCCTAAAACCGAATACCTAACTATTGGATCCTTTGGACCCTTGGGGTTCCTTGGCTTCCGGACATCTCGCCACCGCTCCAATTGCCTTAGCACGGTGCCTGCCAGCGCAGCGTCCTGGAGTCCTGCACGCGCGTCCGAGACTTAACCAAAAGGCTTTTACTGTACAGTGAACCCCAGAAAGTTGGAACATGGTTTAAGGATGATTCCTGCTGGGATTCCCCATACTTTTCCTTAAGGGCATGAGGACAATGGTGTTCCAACTTTCTGGATTCCACTATAAGTGTTTTATGCGATTCTGGATTTATGGAGGGTTTTGTGTGTTGGGATTTCTGCGGATTGTGTAAGGATATCGGCGAGGTTTGGAACCGTTGGTTTTGAGCCGGCTTTGATGAGGAGTCTATAGAAAGAAAGGAACCCTTCACGGAACCCTCAAACGAACCCTGAAAGAGCCCATCGTACTCTCTGTTCTACACACCAACCACCATACCATAACCTGTTTTCTGTCCCTAAACCCTGAGCCCCAAACTGATAATATAATTCTTATGGCCCCTACAAAACGGTAGGTTCTCCTGGCTCCATGTAAATCTGACTATGAGGGGATCGGCAGTCTCTAGCTTGGCGGGGTGCTGCCGTTTAGGCTTTGATGCCTATGTTCCCAAAGGCCCCAAAACCCGTTGATTAAGGAATAAGCCTTAACACATCTTAGGGATCCTTTCATAATCTGAGATTTAGGGTATATTGCTTAATGAAACGGCTTTGGAGGCTCTGGGTTTAGGACTTACAGGGCAGTTGGAACAAGGGTCTAGTACCTACCTGTCGGGTATCATGGGGAACTAAACGTTAACCTTTTTGGTTATATGAGGATTATATAGGGACGATACTACCCAAAAAAGGCTAAAGGTTCCCTACTCTA